CAGTTTCCACAAGGCTCAAGCAGCCTGTTGGGCCATTTACATGCTGGACTCTAAGGCATTTGATAATCATTACATGCTTCGTGATGCCTCAAATAGCAGAACTTCACTATCCAACAAATATCTTTCAATCTTTTAATCCTAAAATGAGGCTGAAAGATAAATTGACCGTCCTATTGAGCTGTCAAGTACTAATATAAGAGAAGAAATTAAATGTTGATCTTTTTTATTATATTTTATTAAAATGTTGTGCTTTGTGTCTGTATTTTAATATACACCATACCCTCATTTTCTTACACTGCAAAAATCTGTTCTTTTTTTTCTTTTTTCTTTTTACAGTGTCCTTTCTGGTGATGTGGCAATAGGAATAATTGTCTTGATGCCAAAAAGAGCCCAACAGATTTTGCTTTCACAAGTGGAGCAGTACAGCTATCGCCATAGTGTTCGGCTTGATTTATGCATATAAATTGCTTTATTATAATTCATGCAGGGAGTATTACAGATTATATGGACACTGCAATGTAAGTAGAACAGGAAAGGAAAAGAAAAGGAGAAAAAATTAAAGAAAGAGGAGATAATGATAAAAAAGTTATGTCAAACAGTAGTTCTTCCTTAAATACATTTATTTTCCCTTGATTTGAACCTGTAATTAAGAACATTTGCCAGTGAAATAAGAGGATTTGTGTTTTTAAAAAAAAGATAAAAACAACTTCATTATCCTATTTTAACCATATCATATCTAATTATCTTATTTTAAGGTCTAAAGTTATCATTCCATTGGCAGGTCTTCTTACCTATCTTCTCAAATAAAGCGCAAATACACTTATTTTGAGAAATTTTTACATGTTTTCTTGATGAGTTTTTGCAGTTTAGCTTAGTTGCCTTAAGCGGTTTGTCTCTGGAGTTATGCGAGTTAATAGGGCTTAAATTATTGATTAGGCAGCGTTCAGCAGGGAATCCAAAAAGATATCTTTGACTGAATAAAAATCCAAGACTATGATGTAAATTTTCTTTTACTATTATTACATGCAAAGAACAGGTTTTGTAAATGGAAATAAAAAAATAAACTTTTTATTATTTAACTTTTTTCCAATTATTAATATTTAATATTTTAACTTTTTCAGATTTTAGTTTGTTCAATTTTATGTTGTAAAGATCACATTCTGGCTTTCCCCCTGGAGTGAGGAGCAAAGACACATTTTTATTGGTCAGCATAGACATTATAGGAACAATATTTTTGGGGGTTCAAGAGCGAGTGTTTGTTTTGGGCTTAAAGAGAAGAGTATGTCATCAAGAGAATAAAAATTTTAAAAAAGGGCAAGGTTATGATAAACACTTAACAACGTAAAAAAAAAAAATTGTTTGATTAAGAAGATGTTTTTCAAAAACAATTTCAAAATTGCCATGTACAAAATATGCATGCTTTACATGCAACAATAATAGAAGCTTTTGAACAAGAAAGTACCATGAAATGGTCAAAAACCTTTGAGGAAAACCTAAAGAACAGAAAGGTGTCTCAAAGCTCAAAAGAACTGTAGGTCAACATCTGACAAGATTGGGAATTTCAATTCTCAACAGAACTTGCATTGCATGGGTGATTGCTGTCCAGAGTATTCTAACAGAGATAGATATTTCCCCTAGGCTCTAAGCAGATATCTATAATGCATTCCTCACATAAAGAGACCAATCAGCAGATCCCCAGCCTGATACTGCAATCAGTTTCCCAATCTCATTTCTAATTCATTTTACTTTACCCCAACAAACTCTGTAATGTGAAGTGCAGTTTGACATTAATCTCTCAACTCTGCAGTAGGCACTGATGTCAGTCAGGAGGAGTTTGGCATGAATCCCATTCACAATTAATTCCCCCAAAACTCCATGAAGTGCCTTTCATTTGTCTTTTATTCAAGATCACCTAAGCCTAATGAAGGAGCTTGAAAATGGGAATCTGTTCTTTGAGAAGGTGATGGGAATCTTAATGCTTCCCTTATGAGGTAGAAGCAGCACCTAGAAAAAAAAAACTGATGGATTAGCTTTCCCCATAACTGTTTATTGTTTTTGTGAGTGGCTGTCTTACTCTTTTTACAGCTGCTTTCACTATGTCTAATAAATCCAATCTTCATTGATATCCCTGTGCTGGGCTATTTTCCTGTTCTTGTTATTCTCTTTTGAGCAACACTTGGAAGCCAATACCAGACAGGTTTTTTTTCAATTTTCTTGACATTTCAGTGCAAAAGGTCACAGCGCCTTTGAGTTTGTGTTTGTTGATTCTGTCTGGGAAAAAAAAATCAAAGGTAACCACCATTGTGCAACTGTTTTCACTTGTTCTGCACATGTGGTGTATGATCGAGACAGACGCCGTTTCTGTAACACACTGAATCGTGTTACTGAGGACCATGACATTTTCTAATGACCTCTCTTGTGTATGTGGCTTAGCTCCAGGCTATAGAACCCTCTTGTTAAAGGAAAATTCTGGTCATATTCAGAATTCAAACTTCTAAAAGTAATTTAAATATAAAATGATTATTGATAATTTTCATTTGAATGTGCTTTACATCCATGTTCGTCAAAGAACACTACTGCCACCTACCGGTTTGTGACGTCACAGTGCGGTATCGGCTATTGAGCAAGTCTCAGTGCTGTATCTGGTGTTTCAACTGCCATGCATTGTCAGTCCTCTGGAAATCTACAATAATTGTTGTTGATTGCAGACGTGTCTAGTAGTTCCCATTGATTTTGCTTGTAAATTGGGTAGAATGGCGCTGTGATTTGCAAAGAATATTATTGTTTTTATTATTTTTACTGATTAACGCTAAATTCACTAAATTGTTATAGTGAATTAATCTAAATCCCCCTTGAATTTTATCTGAGGTGATTTAGTTTTAGGTATAGACATTGAATTATTGATTATTACTTGCTTGTACTTTTCCTTTAAAGGGGTGATAATTTTTCTCTTTCTGTTGTTTAGTTTATTTTTTGATGATCATTGTGTGTGCATGTCATGTTTGAATTTTATGCAAAGACAAACTGCTGTGAGTGAAAATATTTCCAGCATCATATTTTCATGTCTACTGTGTCTACTGTGACAGCATTTTGTCGCATGAGAGTTTGAACTTAGAGTGAACATTTATTCCACCTATAAGCATCTATGCTATAAAATGTGGTACTTAAATATTTCAGCAACGACAGATAATATTATTTTTATGCTGTTCAATGCAGGAACTCAATTGACCCCCATAAGGATTAGCTCACCTTGGCATGCCAAATACTTATAGACCTTTAACAGTAGGGCAGTCTAAACATATTATAATAGAAGAAGTATATAATGTCTTCAGCAAGAGGCTTCTCCAGATCCGGTGGAACATAGACTGCTACAGAAGTTACGGCAACATTTCATTTTCCTTTGGGATAAATAAAGTACTTTTGGATTGAATAACTTTTATGTAAAAAAAAAAAAAAAACTTTAAATAGAAAATCCTAATCTTCCAAAAGAATGTATTGAAGTTGTCGGTTCAGAATAGCACACAATGCATTTCTGTGCAAAAAATGCAAACACTGGCAGTGTTTGCATTTTTGCACAAATTGAGCCTAATGTCCTCACATCTCTCCCATATAACAATGTTTCTTTGGTTTTTACTGTTACACCAGCATATATATCATGGTAAAACACTATTCACACAAAACTGGCACTTGCCTTTGACTGTTCTTTTTAGACTTAGTGGTTAGAGTAGCCCGATTGCATAAAGGGAATGCTGCAGGTTCCCTAGTATGAATCTCTCTGGGTCTCTGAGCAGGACCCTTTACCCCAGTAAGCTCTGTAGGAAATGAACAGTGGCAGTCTACTAAAATTTGGGTTAAACGAAGAGGAGCAATTTCCTTGATAATTATACCAAGTTGAAAAGACAAGTAAATTAGGTTTATTGTTATTATTAACTAAAACATAATTTATTTTGCACCTTACTCCAACTTTTTTTTATGCTGTTCGGTACTTTGAACGATCTTCTTGCTTGTTTTGAGAGAAAACTTCCTTTTTCAAAGAAACACTCATAAATCTGCAGGAATTTGTTTTTCACAATAAAGGGAAACCATAAAAGGAAACTTCAAATCAGAAAAGGTTTTCTATTATTGCTTTATATCAGTTTTCATCCTCACCTACACCTTCAACTCACACATTCATTTAAAATGCTGAAGAGGTTATGGCTGAGTTTTCAATATGACTCAGGTTTGTGTAAAGGAGGCTGCAATAACAAAGGGGGTTTACTAAATCATGAGGAAAAGACTAATCTATAATACAAAAGAAGAGTTCTTGGATGCTCTTTGATGCATGACTCTAGAGATTTCTTCCTTCACAGATTTTATATGGCACTTGTCAAAGTGGTGCCAAGAAGCTCAGAGTCTTTCTCCTCTCCACTTGACATCACCAGCAGGAGATAAAGAGAAGCTGTTGAAAGGCACTTTTGTGCATCCTCTCAATCTTGTGTCCAAGTATTATTCCAACACATGTCTGCAGCTGCATCACGCAGTGTGATTGTTGAGTGAACATTTGCTTGCAGAGATGAAAACAAGTCCTAGTTGAACATTGTCATTGTCTCTGTAGCACTACATATATTTTCTATGCACTTAGTGCAGATGATCGGGAGACTGCAGTAACTGGAACTTGTTAAAGCGTGTTAATGCCTTAGTTTTTCCCTCCGAGGTGCAGGAGGGAAGAGCCAAAGAGGCAATGCGGTATAGTACGGTAGACATCAAGGTGGAGATGCTCCCTCCTTTGTGAGCTAATGCTTGCATACAAGTAGCCCTCAGGCGGTTTTTCTGAATCTGATTTTTTTAAACTGATTTTCCACCCTACATTGCACAGATACATCATCAGCTCTCTCTGAGCATGAAAATGTATATTTGTAACCATGTGGGTGTTTGTGTCTTAAAACAGCCAACTAGGTTGTGATGAAATTAACAAATAAAGCATGACATGTCTGACACTTTGTTCCCTGTATTTCTTCCAGGAATTCTCCTCTTTTGAGATCAGGACTTCTGAGAAATGAGCTGCCAATGTAAGTCCCTTGGCCGACCTCAGGCCTTAGCTGGTAACATTACTTGCTTTTAATTTAATTAAACTGACTGAGAGATATAATTGAGTACACAAATGCGTGTGTGTTCAGCAGAGACGTAATCTTCAGCCTCTAACCTTTATCTCAATTCACCTCACCACCCAAGAGGGACAGGATTAATTTCTGACACAATTTGGAACAGCTCATTCTTATTCCAAGCAGACTGGTGGTACAGAAATCACCTTAATCCAGAAGTGGTTTCATTCACATTTTAAACAAAAGGTTCATTCTATGTCATGATTTGGACTTACCACTTTTGGTTTTGATTTACCTTTCCAAAGGCAGCCACGACTTTGTAGTATCTAAAACCCACCTGCTGGCTAATCCGGACCCAACCTGATTTAAAACAATTAAAAATTATGCCGCTTCTCCTATTAATAAGTTAAAGCCCTCCAAAGCGACCGGCACCAGGCTACACATGATACAAATTAGCAGATGAGTTGTGTCAGTCTGGGCTGCTGCTGCCAGCTAATTTTGGACACAGCAGGCAAACCTGAGGCAAGCTGGGTGATGGGAAAGAAGGAGAAAACGATGAGTAAAAGTGAAAGAAAGTGTCGACTACTGGAAAAACTGCTGTGAACTGGTGAAAGAAAACCGAAATGGCGTGCTCAAAGATGACCCTTAAAAGGAACTATTTTCTGTGTAGTAATACGGCAGTAATTAGTCGCGCACTGCGCGTATTGATACAATGTATAGTTAGGAATGAAGGCTGTATCAGTTGTGAATCTTTTCAAGTAGCCATTAAAAGTTCCCTAAATGGCACGCTGCTTTCCCCGTCTATTTTGTTGATGAGAACACAACAATTGGCGACGAGTCTCGAACCTAACGTGAAGTGGATGTTAACTGGAAGTGAAAATTGTCTCCTTTCAACCTTCCACGGCTGTTTTTGCCTACCCCCAAGCGACGCAAGGAAAAAAAAAAAAGAAAAAGCGTCCAGCTCGCAAAGAAGGGAGGAGGACAACAAAAGGATCCGAGGTCGTGAGTAACCTGAAAAAAAAAACGGAAGTAACTTTACACGAAATAAAAGAGGACTGTTTTAACTAGTGAAACCGTCAGGATTCAAAGAAAATGGCCGGATTTGTGGGACAGATTGGTGCGTTTGATAGTACAGTGGAAGATTGGGCTACATACATTGAAAGAGTGGAACAGTACATTGTGGCTAATAAAATCGAAAATGATCGGAAAGTGGCCGTGCTTCTCAGCGTAATGGGTCCAAAGACCTACAATTTACTTCAGAATTTGATGTCACCAAATAAGCCAGCAAGTAAATCATACGAAGAAATTGTGAAAGTGCTGCAAGAGCATTTAAACCCCAAACCGCTGATCATTGCAGAAAGATTTAGATTTCACAATAGAAATCAAAAGAAAAATGAGTCAGTCACGGACTACATGGCTGAATTACGCAGGCTATCAGAGCATTGCGAGTTCAAGGAGGGACTGTCAGACGCGCTGCGTGATCGTTTGGTGTGTGGTCTCGTGCACGAGGGCACACAGAAGCGGCTCCTTACGGAGAAGGATCTGACTCTTGCGCGCGCTCTGGAGATAGCCATCTCAGTGGAGACCGCTGCTAAGGATGCAGTTGAATTACAAAAGAAGATAGCTTCGTCTAGCGAATGTACAGTAAACAAAATGACAACAAAACGTGCTGAAAAGATGACAGCTTGTTTCCGATGTGGAAAGAAATCCCACAGCCCCGATGAATGTTGGTTCAAAGACAAAGACTGTAACCAGTGCAACAGAAGGGGGCATATCCAAAAAGTGTGCAAAACGAAACAAAAAGAGAGAAAAACAAATGTAAAATGGAGAAATAAAAGTGTCAATGAATTGAATGAGTCTAATTCAGATGAGTATGAGCAGGAATTGGCTTGCCTCGAGCTTCACTCAGTAAAAGGAAACAGACAAAATGTTTTTTGGGTGACACCTGAAATTGAGGGACAGAAACTCAAAATGGAGTTAGACACTGGGTCAGCCTTGTCAATCATATCCTACAAAGATTACAAGAACAAATTTGGCATATTGAAACTGAAACATACCCCAGTCACACTGAAGACTTATACAGGAGAAAAAGTCTCCCCAATGGGGAAATTAAAGGTGAAAGTCAAATATGAGAAAACAAAGCGAGTACTGGATCTGTATGTGGTGCAAAGTGACAATGTGCCATTATTTGGACGAGAGTGGCTGCGTAGCATCCAGCTTAACTGGAAATCAATCAAAGTGATGGAGATGTCCAGCGAAAACACTCAGTCTACCCCAGAACGACTGAGGAACGTACTGGATCGCTACGCCCCAGTTTTTCAAGATGGAATTGGAACGCTGGCACAGATCAAAGCCAAAATAGTTTTAACTGAAAATGCTCAACCAAAATTCCACAAAGCCCGTAACCTGCCTTATGCATTACGCCCAAAGGTGGAAGCAGAGCTCAAGCGCCTTGAGGACCAAGGTATCTTGTCAAAGGTGGAGTGGTCAGAGTGGGCCACACCCATTGTGCCGGTCGTAAAGAAGAGTGGTGCTTTACGCATCTGTGGCGACTTTAAAGTCAGCATAAATCCAGTGCTCCAAGCAGACCAGTATCCGCTACCCCGGATAGAGGATATCTTTGCCTCATTGGCTGGTGGCCAGCATTTCTCTAAGATTGACTTAGCGCAGGCCTACCTCCAAATGGAGTTGGAAGACTCATCAAAGAAATATCTAACCATTAACACCCATAAGGGGTTGTTTCAATATAACCGTCTGGTTTTTGGGATAGCGTCAGCCCCTGCTGTATGGCAAAGAGCAATAGACCAAGTTCTTCAAGACATCCCTGGCACTCAGTGCTATTTAGACGATATTCTTGTGACAGGCAGTGATGAAAACATACATCTGACCAACCTTGAGACAGTCTTAAAGAGGCTATCAGACTTTGGACTCAGAGTGAACAAAGAAAAATGTGAGTTTTTCAAGGACTCAATTGAGTACTGCGGTCACAAGATCGACAAAGATGGTCTTCACAAGGCACAAGATAAGGTGGATGCAGTCTTGAAGGCACCCAGGCCCGAGAATGTCAGTCAGTTACGCTCCTTTTTGGGCCTTGTCAATTATTACGCCAAATTTTTGCCAAACATCGCGACGGTGTTACATCCATTGAACAGTCTGTTACAAGTGAAAACTGTATGGAGATGGTCGAAGTCCTGCGAACAGGCGTTCATGGCAGCAAAGCAACTGATAACGTCAGAGAAAGTGCTGACGCACTACATCCCCAATTTGCCACTGCGTTTAGCCTGTGACGCATCACCATACGGGATTGGCGCTGTGCTTTCCCACAAGATGAAGGACGGCTCTGAACGGCCTATTGCCTTCGCCTCCAGGTCTTTGAACAAAGCTGAGCAGAACTATGCCCAAATTGACCGTGAGGGTTTGAGCTTAGTCTGGGGGTTAAGAAGTTTAACCAATACCTGTATGGTAAACACTTCACACTGATCACTGACCATCAGCCTCTAGTGGCTATTTTCAATCCCAGCAAGTCCGTTCCTATTATGATGGCGGCACGTCTGCAGAGATGGTCATTGTTTCTAGGAGCTCATGATTACACGATTGAGTTCAAAGGCACCAAGCTTCATGGAAATGCAGATGGCCTTTCTCGCCTTCCCCTCGAGTCAGGTGGCACGTCTGTGTTTTCAGATCCAGCTGACCTTTTTCACATGACGCAGATGGACAATTTACCTGTCCCTTTTCTGGAGGTGAAGAGGGAAACGGGTCGTGACCCCACAATGGTGAGAGTCTACGACTTGACGGTGAAGGGGTGGCCCCGGAAGGGTAATGCCGACCTACCCGAGTACGCAAACCGACGTGAACAGTTGTCCGTATGCCAAGGCTGTGTGATGTGGGGCACCAGAGTTATCATACCACCAAAGCTTCGAAACAGAGTGCTAGAGTCTCTTCACGATGGACATCAAGGTGTGGTTAAAATGAAAAGCCTGGCCAGAAGCCATGTCTGGTGGCCTGGCATTGACCACGAGATTGAAGACATCACAAAGTCATGCTCGGGATGCCTGCAAACTCAGCGTCAACCGCAGGTAGCTCCACCACACACCTGGGAGTAGCCTTCAACTGTGTGGCAGAGAGTTCACATCGACTACGCAGGTCCCTGTCTGGACAGAATGTTTCTAGTGGTCGTCGATGCATACTCTAAATGGCCTGAAGTGTTCCCTGTGAAGAATGCCACATCAGCAGTGACGATTGAAGCTCTTCGTACTCTGTTTGCTCGTGCTGGACTGCCACAGCAGCTAGTTAGTGACAACGGTAGCCAGTTTACTTCAGAGGAATTCCAGATGTTCATGAAGGGAAATGGAATTAAGCACATTACCACCGTGCCATTTCACCCTGCAACAAATGGACTTGCAGAGAGATTCGTCCAGACCTTCAAACAATCCATGAAAGCCATGGCGAACACCAAATTGTCCATATCAGAGAAACTGGCCAACTTCCTGTTGTCGTACCGCAACACAGAACATTCCACCACAGGTCAGACACCGTCTGTGCTGTTCATGGGAAGATCCTTAAGATCCCGTCTGGACCTCCTAAAGCCAGACCTGCACCGGGACGTGTCAAAGAAACAAAGCAGTCTGATGAAAAAGCAATTTCCCTTGAGAACCTTCCATGAGGGCCAGCCTGTGCTTGCCAGAGATTATCGTCATGGGAATCAGAAGTGGCAAACTGGTGAGATAGTTTCCAAAACAGGCCCACTTACTTAAACGGTGAGAGTACCACCTGGACTGATCTGGCGCAGACATGTGGATCAGTTACTGGACGCTAGAACCCGTCACTCCACCAGTAATGATCAATGCCGTGATGCAGACTGTGCAGACAGTTCTGAGGACTTCACACCTGGTGACCCACCGGACGAACCCCTGGAAGAACCACCAGATGAACCGAATGCAGAGACTGCTCCAGCAACGGATAGCCCA